AGAAAAACTTGGTGAAATTTTTCCTTCTTGAAGAGATTTCCTAATAAGGAAATTGATGATTGACGGGAAAGAGTTTTGATTTGATTTTTAATTCTCAGAGTTATATTAAATTTACTATATGGATTATAACTCATTATCATTTTTAATAGTACTTTGAATTTCATATAAGTCTATATAAGTCTATTTAATTTCAATTTTCAAAATTATATATATTAACTTATTAATTAATAAAAATCTTATATTTAATACTTTTTTGCAATTAAAATAATAATAATAATAAATAAATAAATTATTAAATAAAATTTTTTTACTTATTAATATAAATCTTTATTTAACTTTAAAAATAATTTATAAAAAATATTATAAAAATATATATGTTTATAACTTTAATCAAATATAATAAAACAAAGTAAATATTATTAAAATAAATTGACAACATTGGTTTTTGTTATATAACTTATTGTTATCTTAAACACAAATCTGATTTTATTTTTCTAATTATATAAAAAAAAATATAATATAAAAAAATTGATAATTTGTTTTTTTTTTTTTTTTTTTTTTTAAAGCTAAGGTGCAATACATGCAAGGATTTTTATTGTAAATCAGAAAATTACAAATAATTATTACATGAACAGTCTTAGCTATTACTAGTTAACTAATGATCCACCCTTATTCTAACTCTGATATCAACTTACACCTTGGAGGTGAATTTATACCTAGGTATGGACTATACAGAGAGTTGTTTTTTTTATCTGCTAACCGTTACTAGGGTTTTTATCACTTTCACTTCCTATGACCCATCCTTTTTGGCTCAAGACTTGTTTACTTCTTTATACTTCCTAGTAAATACTTCAAGAGCTTGTTCCTATAATTGGCATACATTATCAAATTTGGGGACTTGATTGTTGGCCAAGTGGGTATGACTCTTTAAGAATTACTTCTTACTCTCCCAGTAGACATTCCATAGGTCTCTTAGTTGGCTTAAGTTGTCAAATCTAAGGGTACTAATACTAAACAGGACATAACTTTTGTAAAGTAACCTGGATTCATTCCAGTCCACTATACCTATAGAATAATTATCTTCAAAATTATCTAATCAGATTAATAGACTTTCTTTTATAGTCTCGTAAATTATAAAAAGAAGAAATAGTCTAAAGGAAAACAGAAAATACACCAAACGTAACATTGATTATTATAACATTTATCTGATGATTAATGCACCACAATATCTTTTCTGAAGAATACAATCTCAATGCTTGCTGAATCAGCATATGAAATAGCTTTACATGAGAAACAATACATAATAGGTTACAGTACCAGATATCATATAAAATTATTTAATCACTTTTATCTAAAATTGAACCAGTATCTTATAATCTAACTTGTGAAGTGTTAACCATTGCACTATAGATCCACAGATTAAAAATTATTTAACAAGTTTCTTGTATTATTTAATACAAAGAAATTTAATAAGTAATTTTTTGATTTCTTAATAAGCTTAAAAATTTTTAATAAAGAAAAGTAAATATAATTAATATAATATATATTATTTATATACTATAAGCAAATTTTTGAAAAACTTATAAATCAAATAAATATATATATATATATATTAAAAAAATTATATAAAATTTATATATATTGTATATTATTTTGTTTATTATATATGTATAATTATTTATTTTCTTTGTATCTGATTGTTAATTCTAATATGTTTAAAATCTTTAACTAGAATTGATTATTTGTTTTTTGATTCAAGTAAAATACTATTGATATTATCTATTATAATTAAATAAAATTTAATTATACAAGTATTAAAGTAATTTAATAACTCTTAATATTATATTTAAATAAAAATAAATAAAAAAAAAGTTATAATATTTGTTGAAAAACTTTTTGTTTAGATATTATATATTTGTAATAATTTTATATTTGTTAGCTTATATCTTTTAGTTATAAAAGAAATATTATTTGATTTTTGTTATTAAAAAGCCAATACAAAGTTCAATAGTACTTTTAACTTTATTATTTAAAATATCTGGTTGATTCTTTTTGAAAACAACAAAAATATTATATATAATTTTTTAATCTCTATTTTTTGGACAATATATATACAATATAAATTCTAAAAGTATAATTATAAAGTCAGAAAAATCCATATCTGTCTTCAAAAAGAATTACTTATTTGTTTAAAAATAAAAAAAGTTGCTTTTGACCTTATAACTTCTTTATTAGCAAAAATTTATCTCTAAAGAAAGTATAGTATAATATACATGTGATATAAATTATTTGATGTTAACTTAATTTTCAAAATTCTCAAAAACAATTGTGTCATGATTTAATTATTTATTTATATGTTTTAATAGTAACTCAATTAATTGCATCAATTGTATCAAGAATCTATGAATTTCAGTAAAATGTATATATTATAATATTGTCAATTAAGAAGTAATTCTTTAAATGTATTTTTTCAAGTAAAAAAAAAATATTTCCAAAAAAAAATTTTTTTAAAGAAAGTAATATAAACAGAAGAGTTTTTTTTTGAAAAAAAAATTTTTTAAATATAAAATTTTTAAATGTTGTAATTTTTTATTATCAAATATTTATTTTTTTATTGCTAAATTTTGTAATTTTCTTATAAATTTTTATTATCAAATGTTTTTTAATTGCAAATATTTTTATTATCAAATGTTTTTTAATTGCAAATATTTTTATTATCAAATTTTATAAATTTTTTATGAATGAATATTTTTTAATTGCAAATGTTTTATTGATAAAGTTTCTTTTTTTTATTGCCAAATGTTTCTTTTTTTTATTGCTAAATGTTGCATTTTTATTGTCAAATTGTTATATATTTTTTAAATGCCAAGTGACTTAAATTAAACATAAATAACAAAACTTTGACATGAATTTTTATAATAAATTGATTATAATTTGATAGCCAAATAAATTAAAATAATTTGATCTGTATTCAAATTAATTTTTCTTATTGTTATAAATATATACCTTCTTATACAGTATGTACGTTTTATAAAAATAAATTGCAATGAATAATATTCTATTAATTGAAATTCAGCTAGATTTTTCATTTTTATATATACTAAAATGAATAGAAGCTTTATTGAAATATATAATATAATAATTTTTAATAAAAATTTAACTCCCACCATTCTACTAAAACCAAATAATACATTAATTATACATGCAATGCTTAAATAACCTTCCGTTTAGTCAAATTCAATTTCAAGGTTATCCAAATCAGATTTTCGGTATGTCTTAAGGATAGTGTTAGTAAACTTTTCAACTTTATCAACATCCTGTCGACACATCTCAATTATCATCAAAAGCTTTTTAATACCGATCTTCAATTCAACCTGACCCGCCAATTTATCAAGAACCCTAGACCTCTCGTCTTCATTGAATAGTGACAACTCCCGAAGTACAACATCAATAGAACTTAGATCGGTGATATTTGGCACGTATATCTCTGAATTAAAACAGTCAGACATGCCCATCTGTTCAATAACTGATTTTTCATTGGTGGTAGCTAAAATTAGAAGTCGTCGATCCTTGATTTGGAATCATAAAAATAAATACCATTATATATAGTGTTTAAAGTTTTGATTCTACAAGTTCTATTATGTATAATAAATAAATTTTACCTTTGGTGGTCGCTTCTTAAGCAAAACTAATAGAGTTTGCAAAACGAAATTTGAAAACCGGGGACCAATGGGAACCCAATCTAAAAAAAATAGAATGTTAATGACCGAGTATAAACGGGAACAAATTTGCACATACCAAGCAATCTTTCGATGTTATCCACAACAATCACACTCAAAGGAGATTTGTAAGAATCGTTAAAGATCTTAACGAACATAAAGTTACATAAAGTAGTTGAAGCGAAATGACAAAAAATGAGATAGAAATGTAGCAAACCTTGTTAATCGCGCTCATCTTAGATGATTCGGAATATCCAACCATGCTTTCAGGAGAAATTAATTTTACAAAAGGAAATTCTGATGACATTGCCAGTGTTGCTGCCAAAGCAGTCTTACCATTACCAGGAGGACCTATATGACAATTAAAAAGTTTACGTTGCCGTATATTAAAATGAACAGGCATTTTCCATATATGATAATAATGTACCATGTAAGAGAACGCTAACTAATGGTGTCCGAGAGCTATTCTTAACTTGATCAATGAATAATTGTCCGTCCGATAAAATTCTCTGAAATAAAAATTGATCAACAACTTCGCAAGAAATTCCGTCTTAATGGAACATACAAAATGATTTCTAACCTCAACAAAGGGTGCAAATTTAATTATCGCATTCTGCACGCATTGTTCTAATTCTTCCTCACTGATACCAAATGCAGGACGCACTTCATCCAAAGCAGACAAAAAATCGTTTCGATTGACCTTCATGTTTTCCATATCTGGTGTTACGCCGGAAAGCGTCCCAACCTTGACATGCCTATTAAACGCAAATGAACTAGCGCTCTTAACAAGACCATTAATTTCCGCACCGCTAAAATTTTTAGTTAAACTGGCAAGTTCATTGAGGTCCACATCGGAATCCATTATGTTATTTGTCCTCATCTGGTTTATTATTAAAATTATTAATGTAAATTATTGCAAAATGAGCTAAATTTACAAAGTTTTACCTTGGATGTATGAATTTTTAAAATTTGCATTCTACCACCCTCATCTGGTAATCCAATTTCCATATGCACTTCCAATCTCCCTATGGAAAACATATCATAAATTTCTACCAAATCGAACCCTTGTATCTAATATAAAAAGATATGGATAACTCACCGGGACGTAGCAATGCCTCGTCAATCATATCTAACCTATTTGTCATGCCAATGATGAGGATATTGTTCAACTGTTCTACACCATCCATCTAGAAATTGTATAGACAGACGTTATTAACTTTCCATTTAATAAAAGTTCTATATTTCTGAACAGTTAATCAAATACAAACCTTTGCAAGTAACTGATTAACAATACTATCACCAACACCGGTTCCATCATTTTTGCTACCACGTTGTTTGCAAATAGCATCTAATTCATCAAATATAATAATATGTAAACCAGAATCTTCTCCTTTATCCTTATATTCCTTTTCCGCTTCTGCGAAAAGTTTTCGAATATTTTCTTCGGATTGACCAACATATTTGTTTAAGATTTCCGGTCCATTAACTATTTTTGGCTCACGAGCATTAAGCATCTTGCCGATTTGTCTCGCCATCAATGTTTTACCAGTTCCAGGAGGTCCAAAAAGAAGGATCCCTTGATAGGAAAAAGATTTCAGTATATTTATCAAAACTTTATATAAATGAGTACGGAATATATATACCTTTGACATGCTGAATGCCAAGTTTTTCTACCAAATTAGGAGGAAATATCCTTGACGCAAACGCACGACGAAATATGGCACTGAACTCACTATCCAAACCACCAATTCCCATATCTTCGAACTTAAAATCAGGTTGAATTATAGAATTTTGGGCTGCACTAATATGGCAAAATTTTCAGATAAAAAAATCTTGTATGAACATGATCAGTTGAAATTTGTAGATATTAACCTTTTTTTTGAACCCTGCAATATTATCGATGAATCCGCAGCTTTTGACCAATGCACTGCAGTTTGTTGCGTTAATACACCACGAACGCCAACGTGTAGTCCTCCATCTTAGAAAAGAAGTTTTGATCAGACTAATAGCAGAAGAGTTGCTGGTGCATTTAAAAAAATCTACCTCCTGTACTTGAATCAATTTTTTCGCCACTTATTATTTTAGAAATGGTTAACTGGTCGGCCACATGAATGTTTTTCACAACAACTTGAAGGTTGATACCATGGAAATCGAAGACAAGTTGCTTTTAGAAAAACGCCAACAGATTATTACATGTGATCTGAATCATTAAAAACGTCCAATGGTTCTTCAAAGAACATACCTGACCCACAGTAAGAATTTGATTGTTGAATAACTGCATAGGAATTATAGAATTAATATCTTGCAGACTTTCAACGTTCTTGAAGTAACTTTATATTACCTGACAATATATCTTTGACATCTCCACAGTATCAAAATGTTCTTTTATCTCTGTAGTCCTTCTTAGGAATCCTACTTCCACATCTAATTTAACTATATAAATGAATGGACTCTCAGAAGAAGGATCGTATGGGACGACCGAAACCTCCTGGCCTAAGGAGAAAGATGCCCAACGACGGTGAGCATAAGAGGTACCAATTTGTTGAGATTGTTGTTTTTCGTCCTGCCTAAGTTTGAATAAATTTGATCACGAAATTTCTTTAAAGGAAAAAAAAAAATTAAGCGAAATATACCTTATGGTAAATACGAAGGTTCCGTCGACAATTACATAGCGGACAGATTGAGGAAAATCTTTTGGAGAAACGATCAGACAATTTGTTAGTGCAAGTGTATCATTGGGACATTTGGAAACCTTCATTCGAGGTACTGGTGGAACAGCTGGAGATGGTCGCGGAGTTGGATAGGGAGATCGAGAACGACTATAGGGATCCATTTTTTAAATGTTGAATATCCTTTTGGATCCTATCTGGTTTTTATAGCCAAAAATTTTAATTAAGTCCGAATTCGATTGTGTGCAACTTACGAATTAGAGGTTTGAATCGGTATCGTTATCTAAATCCGATTGAAAGTCATATTTAGATAAATAAAATAAACAAAAAACCTGATTTTCTCTGAATGTATTGTAATAAAATTACCGTATATACACTTTAATAAATTATAGAAATAATAGAAATCAGTTATGTCTTACAATAAAAAGTTAAAGTTATTAAAAAGATTATACGGTATTTTATTTTAATTTAGAAAAAAAATTTTTTTTTTATTTTTCTAATTAAATTTTAAATATCATAATAGCTATATATAATATAATTAAGAGCAACTTAAATTAAATATCAAAGACAGGTATTCAAGTATAAAAGATCGTGATATATAAATATTTTATATACATAATTATATTTTTTATTTTTAATATTAAACAATGTAATAAATTATAAATTTATTTTATTTTAATTACCCAGGAATTTTAAATTTATTACAATATATATCAAATAAATCAACAATATAGATATATAAATATATGTGATTTTTTATCAAATAAAACAAAAAAAATGCTTATACAAATTCAATTTCTCAGAATTCTAACTTATTCTATTTTTTTAAAAAAAAACAATAAAACTTTAAATTTTATGTTATTATTTATACTAAAAATATTTTTTATCTTTAGATTAATATTTTAATTTTTGAATTACTATTAAATTTTAATATGATTATAAAGTTAATATAATCTTTTTAATAAGATGCTATCTAGATTAAATATTAAATTTAAAACTCGAGGGGGTTTTTTTAATTATTCAATAATTTAAAATAGATTATTACTTAACATCTATAGTAATTATTATTATTATGATTCGATTAAAACAAAAAAAATTTTTTATTTTTATTATACAGTAAGTATTTTTTATATAATTATATTTTATCATTCTATAAAATATACAGTATCATATCGAAGGAATCGTAAAAAGAAAAAAAAAACCCCCCATTCTCTTTATTTCACAATTCTAAAATTTGGTACTTCGTCAAACCAGTTGAAAATTTCCATAGGGTCAAAAAATTGGATATAACATTGCGTATAATGTAAGTAGACCTGATGTAATGTGAGAAATAGTACGTAAATTTAAATTATTTCATGGATGACTATTAATCGATCTCATTTTCTTTTATAAAATATGAATTGGACCGGAAGCAAAAGGTTTTTATTATTAACGTATCGTGTCATTTTTAGAAATTGGGACGCGTTAACTTATAAAAAATAACGTTTTATAATAATTGATAATTAAGAAACAAATTAAAGGTTAAAGTCGAACAACAAAAACAACGAGAATTTTTTAACCGTCAACGTCTCAAAAAATTGCATGCGCTCTTAAAATCCGATTCCAAACGTTCAAGGGTTCTACCGAGTATTGATGTAGTTAGAAAGAGCGGTCGTGATATTAGTAAAAAACAACATTGTAGCGGTGTCGTTTCAGCTTCCGATTTTAGTTCGCATTCTACTGGAGACGTGAATGAGAATAATTCGTCAAATCGTGAAAGCGATCAAACCATAACGCTCTCTTTAAAGCATTCCAAACGTCAAGATTCAAGAACTCTGTGTGTGAATGATGAGAAAATTGCAGATGATAACGAACTAGAGATTAATGGTGGAATGGATTTTCATATCATTTCTGGTAAAAGTTACCTCACTTTTTATTTATTATATCGCTTTTCGTGAAGGTAACATTTATCTTGTCAACAATATAAGATATTGAAAAACGTAAAATAAACCTTTTGCGAGATTGCGATTGGGCTGGCATTGATTCTTCATTTTTAATCAACGCAAGTCTCTTGCTTATCCTCATTTTTGTCATAATTTGCTTTTGAAATAACAAGATCCATGGATTTAGGGTATATCTGATTTAAATGAAGAAAATGAAGGAGAAAAGATCGAGATCGAATATGGTGAGAACTCTTGGACTGCAACCCTTGTGTAAATTTTAGTTTACTCAATTTTTTTTGCATAAAAGAGAAAAGGAATGCAAAGCAGTCTAGAGATTACAAGAGAGATCAGAGCAGTGGGGCTTCAATATGTTCGAATCACTCTTCTGATAGAAATGACGAGTTATCAAAGGAAAGGCAAGTAATTCATATTTTATAAGATTTCAATATAAAAATTACAATAACAGTTTCTTCATATTAATTGATTTAGTTCAGGGAATTCACTAGCTAATGAAGTTGTCACAATGACAAACTCAATGTCACCTTCGGGGAGATGGAATCAATTCTTGAATTCTTCTAATATTTGTGTTGAGTCCGTGTATGATTTTGAGAATGAATCAATATATCAGCAAGAAGTTTGTTTGGATCAGGTCAATGACAACTTAGATTCCACAAACATCAGTGAAGCGAAAAAATCAACGCCATCAACACCAAGAATAATTGCGACCTCTGCATTGCTTTCCGTTATCCCAAAATCTGATACTATCGCGAGTATTGGATGGAACACATTTTTACAAACCGATGATAACGATGCGACTTGTGGTGATAACGAAAAAGGTTATGATTGTCAGTCTAGTAAGATGTTTATCTCGGATGAACAGAAAAGAAATGATAGCGAGAAAAACGTTAACAGTCAACTAAATACTGAAGAAATAGTTGGTTCACTGGAACAATCACCGTTATGTGGTGTTGACCTCCAAGGCAATGCATTAGAATGTACACAAGGAGTAACAGGTTATCATCTTATTTCTATTTGATTTCTATGAATGCTTACTTTTTCTATACTTACGATATTTACAGTTGACAATTCAGAGATAGCCGTCTTGCCGAAAACTCTCGAAATTACTAATCAGGTTTGAAATCTTTTTTTTACATGAAATGTTAGTTTTTCGTTCTAATGGTCGTAACATCAATAATTACAGGATGTCTTGAACCGAATTCGTAATCTCGAGATAAAAAATGTAAATCTTCAATTGGAAACCGATTTTCTCAAGAAAGACGTGAAGTGGTTAATGGAAAAAGTCAAGGCTATCTGAGAACGGAAATACCAGATTATCACGATGTGACTACTTTTCTACAGCGACTTAATGCCATATTACTAATGTGACTATTTTTTCTACAGAGACTCAATGCCATATTACTAATGCAACGCAAAACGATTATGAGACTCGTCTATTAAGTGAAACGAGTCCTTAGTCATTAGAATAAGATAAACCTATTGCCCACGATGCCCCTTGTTTAAGATTTTTTACCATCAATTGTTTTGTCATGGTCGAAGTTTACATCCTTGTAACTCTTCCTATTTACAAAAAAGAAAAAAAAAGAACATCTCAATTTGGCAATAAAAAATAGAGTCTCGATGATTTGAACTCCCGTTAATGTTAGAAGAATGTTTCACATGTTTCTGACAATATCCCAACACTACCCATTTGAGCAAAAACCATATACAGAATGCCAAGCAACTTCATATTGACGTGGAAAAAAAAATGTTACCTTATTCACCTGACAGTCGATAAAATTCATAATGATAAATGAAAAAAAATCATTGATTTACCATATAACGAAAACCATTTATAATTAATTATATTACTGTATTATTTACCTGATATTTTTTATTAACTAAAAACTATTTTTCAAATATTAATCAAAGAATAAATTTTTTAAAAAATTTTAAAGTATATTTGACATATCGTTTATTAATAGAAAATTTCAAATGAATAATATTATGTTAATTTCGAGTATTTGGATTAAGATTATTTACTTATTTAAACTTTGTATTTGTTTCGCGCTTTTCACAAGAATGGTCGCTGAAACAAGGAAAAGGAATGTAATTTATAACCCGAGTATCAGTGCAATCGTTTCGTTCGTTTTTACTTTGAAAGATATGAGTAATGTTTATGTATAGTGCTTTATTGGTTTTTTTTTTTTTTACTTCTAAAGAATTAAAGTTATTAAAGAATGGGTCTAAAGTTACTTCGTATATTATAACCAATGTTTTACCATTGTGACTTTCTATTAATAGAGGTAAGATACTGCCAATAATACAATTGCCAATGACAAACCAGCCATATTGGAAGAAGGATAGATGGTCGAGCTACCACTTGACTTTGGAACGGCACTAGTACTAGGGGAAGCGCTTGAACTACTACTAGTCTGCCCGGCAGCCGATGCTGAAGAAGTGCTGCTAGGACTACTTGCGTCCGAGGTAGAAGTCGAAGCGCCAGATTTGGTAGCAGTCAGAGGGACGCCAGGATTATTAGGGTCGAAATTTGGTATATTCCCCGTAGTACCGGCAATGGTGAATGTTCCGGAATAAGCTGTGTACGAGCCGGAGGTATATTTTATAAAATAGAAATTACCAGACGGTCCGATGTTTTTTTTCACTGTGTAAGAGACCTTCTGAGCTGTTCCTTTGACTCCTGTAGCAATCACATCTACCGGGAATTGAGTATCCTCGGTGCCTATTGAAACAACAAAAAAAAATTAGTTTTACGTAGGAAAGTTTTCTCATGAATAATCTTCTAACGCGATAATTTGATTCCGTACCAGCCATCAATTCAATTTTCAAGTTGTTTAGGGTTTTTATCGAAGGGGATTTGCCATCGTCATTCCAGATGACATCATATTTCGAGCCACTATTCCACGTAACTTTCTCAAATGGTTGATCGGTAAATATTCCAGCTTGAACTGTGGAGGCCAAAAGACCTGTAAAGCCAATTAAGAGTGTTGAGAATTTCATTTTGTATGTTTTCGCGAGGTTTGAGTGAAAGAATGGAGAAGATGTAGATATATAATATCAATATATATATATATATGCGAGTAGAAATGATGTAAGCTACCCGATGTTTGAGAATGGAGAAGGGAAGAAAATGAATGAAGGAGAAAAATAAGATGGAAAAAAGTGTCTCAAAAAGACGGATATAAAGATTCGTAACAAAAAGGCGGTCTAATATTTATTTATATTTCTCAAACATTCAAAATTAATATTGTATGCATGAAGTGAAACCTTGAGCGTGAGGTGACACGAATATCACACACCAATGATAACCAAGATCAACAAACTTTTTAAGTCACATAGCCAGTTTCCTTTATTACCTCTGTGACAAAAGACATTGACAAGGATAGCCGAATCGATAGATGGAATATAATTCTTTCGACCAAAAATTTTAATGCGTACTTATGTTAATGAATGCGAAAAACCTATAAAAACGACGTTGGCGCATGTAGACGTATTTAATGCGTACATGTCAGGTACACTAATTTTATTCCACCAAAGGTTATTTAAATCATGAAGTCTTCACGTAATACGGTTCGGATGATAATTTCTCATGTAGCATCGTGATACTTTTTCCGTTCAACGGTTAGGTTGAATGACCTGCACACGAAATCAAACGTTCTTATTATGTAACACTAATCATGTTGAACTACCGGTCTATTACGACCTCGAGTGCACATCATTGTATTTACATCTACGAATACAAAAACTGGTATAGATAAAATAGGAAATGCAATTTAAAAATTGTTACGTAAAACAAGCAATAAGCTTTAGTAGTAATCGTTGGGTCCTACCAAGCACATGGTCTAAATGAGAAAGAACCTTTGATTCTTATTCTAATCACAAAACAATGCACAATTACTCTAGATGGTACCTATTGCAAACGTCGCTTCGTGTTAAACAATTATGTTAAACTTGCGTTACTCACGACCTGTGTGCATTTAGCTTACTACCGTTCTTGGCATCGAACTCAGGATTCTTTCAATCATTTTTTAATTTATTAATACTATTTTCCATGCTGGCCACATGTTTATTTACTGATGAATGCTAGTTACCTTCTGCACAACACACCTAACTTAATTCCTCCAATACCAATTATAATTCTCGAAAAAGTTTGTACAGTTACAATCAATTTATTAATATTTGGAATATCCAAGGAAAAACGATTTTTTTTCTCTACTTTTTGTCAGGCCATCTTTCTTACCATTTACTGTATATGCTTGACCTACTAATTATTTTACTCATTGTTTGCACCTAATCGTCATTTGAATTGAATTACTGTATATTGAACGGTCGTATATCGAAAAGAATTTACGTCGCGTCGTTTCCACGTGATATGGCTGGTTTCACATCTGTGTACTTTTTTAACCTTTGCTATTATTAATATTTATAGAAAAGATTTGTTTCTAATCTACTAAAAAGTCAACTAGTTTCATTCTTAAATATATAAAGTACAGGATTTACTATTATGATTGTGTTTATTTGTAATTAAATTAATTATGATTTTAAAACTTTTACTGTATCGTAAATGGTCAATTATCTTTGAAGGCGACAAAAATGCTAAATATACAGTGATTAAAGAATAATCATACGTATAATGCAAATTTTAGGATTCTATCCACCTCGAAAATAATTATGTTTTAATTTCAAAATAATTAAATAATTCTTTAATTATGTAAATATTTTGTATCATTTTATTTTCAAAAAATTATTTTAATAATTTATCAAATAACTATTAATAATACTTTTTTCATCATATTTAATAAAATAGTTAAATAAAAATTTTTTATTATAAATAGAAAGTAAATAATTAAAAATAAAATATATTAATTTAGAAAATAAAAATATAACCCATAATTAGATTAAAAACAAAATCTATTAAATTATAATATAAAGGTAATAGAAAAAAGTTTTTTAATATAGTTAGTTACAAATAAAGAATTATGATTTAAAATTTTTAAAAAATAATAAATTCCAAAAGTAAAATTTGTATTTTTTTATAAAAATTTTTTTTTTGTTTTTATTAAACTATTATTAATTTTAAAATTTTTTTTAAAAATAATAATAATAACATAAGATATATTTGTTGTTAATTCAAGTAAATTTTTATAAAATTCTTGTTATTAAGTTTAAAAATAAAGATATCATTTATAAAAATTAATTTTGATTTGTAATTAATTAATAATAAAATAATTTTTTCTATTATTTGAATTTATTTGTTATGATTTAATTTCTAATTTTTGTTTTTTAATACAAATTAAACACATATATATTTTTTATATATTTTTTAAAATTTTTAAAACAAAGTTTATAAAATTTATCCAAATTTAAATTTAAGTTTAAATATTGATTTTTTAATTTTAAACAAATGGTTTTTTTAAATTTTTTAAAATAATAAATTATTAAAGAATTATAATTAATAATAAAATCTTTCAAAAATTTTAAAAATTTAAAAAAAACTTTAAAATAAATTCAAAAGCTTTTTTATTAATTTTGAATTTAAAAGATAAAATATATTTTTAATAATCAAATATATTAAATAATTAATTATTAAATTTTTTTAAAACAGTAGAAAATTGTTTATTATTAAAATTAAAATCAATATTTTTTAATTCAAATATATTATATAAATTATTTTGTAAATTAGAAAAATATGATTTTTCAATATATTAATTATTTAAAAAATAATTATATAATTGTTTTGGTTAACTATTAAATAATTATAAAGTAATATTATATAAAATTGATATAATAAAATTTTTTTGTAATAAGAAATAAAAATTATAAAAATTTAATAAAAAAAAGTTTTTTTCTAAGATTTAATGAAAGTATAGTAAAATTAAAATTTTAAATAAAAAATAAGAAATATTTATTAATTTTAAAATTCAAAAATTTAATAACAATATTATTACATAATTATTTCAATAACTAATTACAGTGGTACCTGTCTATTTACATATTGTTTATTTGTATATTCTATATAAAAAATATATAAATGCATATTTTTTACTCAGTCCCAACTTATAAAACTCTTATAAAAATCCAACATATATATGTATAACCTGTTTAAATATATATTTTTATAAAAATTTCACTATGGTCTCAACTTTATACAAATAGACAGGTGCCACTGTACTTAATATTCACAAATTTTCTTTTATATAAAAACCTATGACTTAAACTTCAAAATGATTATTTATTTATTAAATAATATTCATGTTAATAAAAATACTAATATTTAAACTTTTAAATTTAAAATTTAAAATTTAAAATCTAAAAATCCAACAACAATATTATTATACAATTATCTCAATAAATTATTTATATCAAAAAAAATTTTTTATATAAAAGTTCATAATCTAAATTTCAAAATGAATATTCATTTATTAAATAACATTATATATTAATTAAGATATACAGTGTATTACAAAAGTCTTTGGACTAATATTTTTTAATATAACTTAATAAATAATTATTTAATTAATATAAAACTTTAAATATATATTTTTTATAATGTAATAATAAAAATATTTAAGTTTTATTAATAGTTGATTAATAAATTTATTATAAAATATTAATTTAAAATAAAAAAAAATTAAGTTAAAAAATTTTCATCAGATTTTTTAAATGATTGACTATAATTAAATATTAAAAATCAAAAAATAAATATTAAAATTATTTAACAAAAAAATTAATTAATTAATTATATCAATATATTATAAAAAATTTTTTTATAATTTTTTTATCAATTCAAAAAATATTTTTTAATTTTTTAATTTATTTTATAAAAAATATTTTTTAAAAAATTATACTTTTTGTTCATAATTTATATATAAATTTATATATAAAAACTTAATGAAAATTTTTTAACTTATTATTTTTTATTTTAAATTAATATTTTATAATAAATTTATTAATTAAATATTAATAAAACTTGAATATTTTTATTATTACATTATAAAAAATACATATTTAAAGTTTTATATTAATTAAATAATTATTTATTAAATTATATTAAAAAATATTAGTCCAAAGACTTTTGTAACATACTATATATATACAGTATATATAACAATGAAAAAACTCTTTTCCACTCTCCCTTCTATGCTTGAAAATTTCCTTTTTAAGAAACTTTTGAGTTGTTTACTTTTTTTTGTTTTTTCTATTTCTCTCTTCTCCTTTCCCCTTCCCTATATACTATTGATATTAAAACAGTGAGTCTGTCACTTGTAGCAGGTTAAACTCAATAATGTCGAGATAGGTTATTCTTCTTTTCTCTACTTGAGGCATAGATTTGAATTGGTCAACTTTAAACTATCATTTACTTACTCTCTTCTTCCTCTTGTTATCTTTCTTCGATAGTTCGAGCCACAAACCTCGTTAGTGACTTCCAGAATGATCCTCTCACAGTAACTTTATTTCAGAAGGTGAATTAATTAGTAACTTCTTTTTTAGGTGTATCTATTCCACCATCACTTATAATAACTTTTAATTAACACTTGTATAACTGTTTCATACTTCTACAAGAATGGTAATTAAATTCTTATTAAAGTAAAGTTAAGTTATCCAATTATCCTATTTCATTATTCTTTTTCTCTCTTATTTATATTACTATAACTATCTGCTATAGAACTATAACTTTATGACTCATAAACTACTAGACTATAAAATAAACTATCTAAGCTTTTTATTACATTATAAGTCTATTTTTAAAGCATTTCTGTTACTCCAATTAAGTGCATTATACAAATGTTGCATTATCAAGCCTTATCAAAGCAATTTTTCCACTAATAATATTTTTCTTTCTCTTCCTTACTCTTCCCTTTTCTTTTTACAAATCTTTATTTATATCATATCCTTTTCTTTTTCTCTTTTTTCTTCTTTTGCCAAAGTTAGATTTTTCTTTCTTCTTGAAGTTTTTCCTCTCTAGACCTCTCCTTTTTTTGGAATACCACTTTCTATCT